ACTCTCAAAGGACCCAGGAATGTCTGTATATCACTTAAGACCATATTAACTTTCAGATTATAAGAATGCGTTATGTATATTCTTTTTTTGCTTCTTATTTTATTTAAGGAGGCATTAGCTAGAATAGTTGAGCAGTGAAAACACACAAATCCACCTCAACCTACACTTCTAGAGGGCTAACATTTTCATTCTTTTGGAGTCAAGATATCACAGTGGTAGAAATGAATTTGGAAATTATGCCTGCTAGTGTGTCTCCCCTAGCCCAAGCCAAGTTATAATAGCCTATCCCACTAAATTGGGTGTAAAAAGCCACAGGAGGCTACTTTTTCTGTACCCACATTTCTGTAATTTTCCTGAATAGCACAACTACACACAACCTTGTGGACCTATTTACGCTGACATGGAAGTTCATCCTAAACCAGGATCCCAGCAATCAGACCCATTACATTCTTGAAATGTACATAAAACCTAATTATTAAGACTAGAACTAAAAATAGAAAGGGGGAATCTAGGAAGGGAACAGCTAATGAAAATTGTCTAGAAAGTAAAAAAAAAAAAAAGGATTAAAAGAATCCCATCCACTGCAAAGTATAATTTCTTGATTACAAGGGCAATGCTTTGCTAGGAGAGGCCCATGTTCAGCCTGGAGTCTCCCTGCCTTTCAAAGGCCTGACAAAACTGCACATTCAAGCACTGATACCATCCATCAAGCAAAAGGCTCCTGGGCAAAAAAGTAGGCGCCCGTTCGCTGCTCTCCCGGGATCCAGGAGATGGAGGAGATAGACTGTACCCCACATCCCAAGGGAGACCATAGTTATCGGGTGGGGCTGGACACCCCCCCTCCTTTCCACCACGTCTGTCCGTCCTCCTACCTGTGTGGGTTCGCAGGTGTGCTTTGAGATGAGAACTCTTCGTGTAGGTTTTGCCGCAACCCGCATAATCACAAGTGTGAGTGGCTGTCCTTTTCCGGGGCCACGACCTTCTCCCCCTCTTAGGTTTGGGCTCCTCTGGCATGCAGGACCCGGGTGGCATGAGCTCTAGGGGCGAAGAAGTGGGGGCGGTCAGCCTCATCCCGTGGGCCCCGGCACACGCAGTGCTCCCCAGCCCGAACAAGGAATCCCCAGGACTGACCTTGGTAATGGAGCGGCGGCACCTGCGGCTGCATCTGGTCTGGCAGGAAGGGTGGGTAGTTGGGCCCCGGGTGGGGGTGGAAGCCCGGGGGCAGCGGCAGGGCAGGATGACAGTCCCTGCTGCTCAGCAGTTCCTCGGCTCCCAGGGTCGGGGTAGTCCTGTTGGGGAGCTGCCGCCCCAGGGGGAAGTCGTGCGCCGTCGGCCGGTGGCCGTTGCTGAGAGGAGGTCCCGTGCCCAAGTGGGCCTCCAGGGGCCGGCCGACCGTGCACGAAGAGACCGCCTCCTGCTTGATCTTGGGGCACATGCGTGGCGGCCCGCCGCTGTAGGGCGCCACCACCACCGGGTGGCTGCCGTTCGGGCTGCCTTTGCTAACACTGATGACCGACGGGCTGCCGTACTCACTGCCGGGGGCGCTCAGCGACGCCTTCAACACAAACTTGCCCATCAGCCCGCCACCTGGCGGCTGTTGCTGTTGCGGCGGAATGTACACTGGGTCCAACTCGGGCCGAAGGAGTTCGGCCACGAAGCCGCCCGAGGGGCTCACGTCGTTGATGTCCGCCAGGTTGAAAGGAGCCGTGGGAGGGGGCGCAGACTCGCGGCCATACAGGAGGCCGCCGCTGGTGCTGCCGGGGGCCACGCCCGGGCCCCCCTCGGGCCGGATCGGGTAGCTGAAGCTGCAGGTGGAGGGCGCACTGGCAGGGCCGCTGCTCGACGGGGAGGACGACGAGGAGGCCGAGGCAGACGAGGACACGGTGGCAGCCACGGACTCCTGATGGGACAGCGAGTTGGAGAGGATAAAGTCCAGGTCCAGGAGATCGTTGAACTCCTCCGTCTCTCTCCGGGGAAGGAGCGCCGGGTTGCTGCCGCCGCAAGCCGACCCGACTCCGCCGCTCTCCAGGTCGGTGGCCACGGTCGCCGCTGCCAGGTCGTACGGGCGGCCGGGAAGTAGAGGAGGAAGTCGCTTCATGTGGGAGAGCTCCTCCCGCCAGCGCTGCGGGGACAGGGCGGGAGAGGGACCGTCAGTGGTGGTCTCCAGCCGCCACCCGACATACTGGCAGACCCGGCGCGCCTACGTCGCCCAGGCGTGGGGAACGAGCAGGCAGGCAGCGCCCGGGGGCTCCAGTGCCAGGGCTGCAATCTCGACCCACACCCGGGTCCGAGGAGAGGCTGTGCGTCCATACGGAGGGTGTTAGGTTGTGTCTGCCCGATTGCGTGTGAGCAAGCGCCTCGGCTCGCCAGCCCGAGTCCCTCCCCCGCCAGATCCCTGGGACGCTCCCGCCGTCCCAGAAATTGGGACACCGAGGCTCTCCCGGTGTGTCCTAGCCACGGGGACGCCTACGCGCCGAGCTCTCAGGCCCAGCCAGTGTCTGTGGACACAACCACCTCCCGCCCGGTGGCCCGCGCGCCCGCCCTGCCGCCTGCACCCCAGAGGACGTGTGCGGACCGGGTGCGCGCCTCCGGCGGCTCCGCCGCGTCCAGACCACACGCACGTACGGCTGAGCCCCGGGCGCGGAAGCCGTCCCGGGAAGGCTGAGGTGCCCGTGCAGTGTCCACCTCCTCCCCTGACTCCGAGGTGGTCCTCGGTGACCCAGGGCTCCGCCCGTCCCCACCCTACCCACAGAAGTCCCCCCCCCCGCCCCGGCTTACCCCCATGGCCAAGGGCAACACTCACGTTATTCGGGGCACCTGCTGGACGCAGTGTCTTCTCCCTTCCCGCGGGGCCGGACGCGAACGTGGAGAAGGACGGGAGCAGTGCGTCGCTGACAGCCATGTCAGACTCGCCAGGTGGCTGCCTGTGGGCCGGGTGGGGCGCACACGGAGGGAGAAGTCAGGGGCCCACTCTCGATCACCACTCCGGCGTGTCCCACCCCGACCCGCACCCCTCCCTTTCGCCCCGCGCTGCACCTACCTCATTAATGTGGGGGCCCAGAAGGTCCTCGGCAGGCCGAAGCGGTGGGGATACCCCGAACCCCAAAGTCAACGAAGAGGGGAAAAAAAGACTTAGAAACGAAGTCAAAACCAAAACCCCAAATTGCCCGAGATCCTTCTTCTTTGGATTAAATATAAATGGTAGATGCCCGTGTTTTTTTTTTTTTTTTAAAGTTCCTTTGTATACAAAAGTTCTTAAAAAGTCGTAAACTCGTATAAAAATGGACAATCAGCAA